ATTTGTTTTCTATTTATTTCTAATATGAATGGCCCATTACCTACAAAATAAATTTGAACCTTTATTACTACGATCTCTAACTCGCCTGCCAAGAGTGGAGAATATGGAAAACCTAATGTAGAGGAAGTTCCATAGTGTCACGGGCAGTTGTTGTATAAATAGTTCACAAAAAATGTTCTAAAACTCTTGCTAACAACATCAGATATTTGACAGCGTAAGATAAAGTAATTTGCCAGTAGATTAGCTAGCCGTTTTAGCCGATTAGCCGTTAAAGCCGCGTGTAATGTCCCTAACAGGGAACTTTTCAAACAATATAATTCAGAGGTGGCCGGTCAAACGACTTTGAAGCCGGTTTAACGCATCATTGCGCACGGTTTTAGGGCAACACCAATTTTTAGGCTAAATTCGTTGAAAATATTCTTTGTTGCACGAACGTTGAGTCTATAAAGAGTGTAATTAGCCTTTTTATAGACTGGCCGTAGTCGTTAATATAAACGATGATGAGGGAATTTTGGCGCCTGGCCTTTGGGGAATTTTAGTACAGTTTGTTGGTTTTGTAAACTGATTTTTGTTGGCTTTTTTAATACCTTGTTATAGTTTTTTACATACATTTGCTTAATACCCTAATATTGACTACCTAACTAAAACACTAATCCTCTACAGTTTAAGTAAAAGCGCGGGTTACTCACGTGAATATACTGAGAAAAGCTCTACTAGTTTCGAACCACAGTGTGTTCAAATCACTGTGTCAGTGAGCTGCGCGACGTCGCCTCGACGGCGCCTGCTGCTCATGAGGAAGAACCCCTCTGTGGTTCGAAACTAGTAGAGCTTTTCTCAGTATATTTACGTGAGTAACCCGCGTTTTTACTTAAATTAGTATGTCTCACGACAGTTATTATAAAAAACACCTCTACAGTTTATATTCCTGTAGGATCTGCCTACAGGAATATCATTTAACCAATAGGTACTAATTTATTGATTGAATCGTAAGTGCGACTATCTATATCTATACATATAATAAAACTGTACAATTCTTCATTCTGTACATGGAAAACATAAAAAAAATAGTAGGGGATGTTAATAGATATACACCGAACACAAAAATATGATTCAAAAAATGTTTACCTGTCTGCCTGTCTGTTTGTCTGTATGTTCACGCATCACGCAAAAACTACCAGTCCGATTACAATGAAATTTCGTATGATTATACTTTAGTATCCTGGGCATCACACTGGATACTTTTTATCCCGAAAAAGTATATACCTACACAAAAAAAAACAAACTTATTTGTGCAGCTCAATTCCTAGTCACATCTACTAGGGCCGATGGTTGAAATTAGCTTGAACCGATATTATAAAAGCGAAAATATGTCACTTTGTGTGACATCAAAACGGTCCTAAATACGTTTGCTTTTTGCATCGACCATTGTTTTTGTCTCTGCAAGGAGAAAGCCCATGGCATTAAGCCCACCTTGTACATTAGTGTGTGCATGAAGTCTTTTAAAATAAAAATTAAAAAAATTGGCTGAAGGGACCGGGATGAAATTTGTAACAGAGGTTGATTACAGTACAGTAATACATAATCTACTTACTAACAATAAGTTTTGAAATTGATTCCCATGTCATACATATTCTCAGAAAGCACACAAGATGTATAATATAACTCGCCCATATAACACGGACAAAAAGATCTTACACTTTAACTCCATCTGCACGAACTCTTTCTAAGCATAAAAGGCATCGTACAACATCAATAGTGTAGATGTTAGACAGAGATATCAAACAATTATCAAAGGCCCCTTGTATTGAGACATACTGCTTGAGATCTGAGAGATCTTAATAGAGTACAGCACTGTACAGTGTTGCTAACACAAATAAACTGATTGCCGATCATTCTGTGATCTCCGCGGATTGTTAAGCGGTATGAGATACTATGGTTTGGAGTTATTTGACGGACGATCTTTTCCTAGGCAAAGAGGACCTTTTGGGTTATGTTTGCCTTGTGTTTGTTGCTAAGGAAAGTTCTTTGTTGGGTTTTTGATTGCGATATTATTTTTATAATTAGATTCGTCTTCGAGTAAATGGCAACAGGGGCTTTGTTCCTTTATCTATTATAATTTGAACAAAATTATTTTATGCTCATTTTAATCTTTTAAAGAATGACGGAGTGATATTGTGGAGGACATTCATGATAAACAGGATTAACTTAACCCCTCCAGCGTCCTTATGAGCACACGGTGGATGATAAGAAAAAATGCTCCATGCTGCTTTCTCTTTTATAAAATCTATTATTAATGTTTTGTTTTTATTTTGACTGTATTTTTTATTATTATTATAATGATTCTTGTTTTCGTGTGCCAATGGCCAAATAAATGCATTTTCGGTCTTTTTTCTCCAAATGTCACGTGTGCACCCGTTGGATGGATCATAAGGAACTCGGACGCTCGACGGGTTAAAAGCTGTTTTAAAATGTGATGTAATCGAAATATATTAGCGCTGACATTTTTTGTTTACAACTTTTTTATGGATACACATGAATGGTAACCCTAACAATAACGTAATCAAGTGTCAATTGTTCTCTAACAAATGAGACATTTGCAAGCAGCTTTGAACTGTACTGAGACGATTGTGAGGTCCTCTTGAAGTTTGGTGGTTCAATCGGAATGAAATATAATTATCATAACATAACATCACGTCTTTTTATCTCCGAAGGGGTAGGCAGAGGTGCACATTTTGGCACTTCATGCCACTGTACAATGTAACACACACTTTTCACTATTTATGTTACGAGTCCCATGTAATAAATTAATAATTAAATAAAAATAAAAAATAGAATTATCCTATAATAAAAAATTTTGGGGCTTTATATCAGGTGATTATGTACCTACGAGTTAATATCAAGACAGATGTTTATAATCTACATGTACCTATTTGTATTTTATGACTCTATTCTGTAACCTGTGACTGTATTATCAAAAGATAAGTTGAAAATACAAATCTGATTAAAAGGAAATCTAGTATCAACTTCGACCGCCTACTCGATACCCACTCTGTAGCTGACAGACATATTTGTAAATGATCTAATTGAAGTTATCTTTGCTCTGCAAATGATCTTATGAAGATTCAAATATCAATTTCTAATTTGACATGTAACGTTTATTTTGCGTAACAACTTATTTATATCTAGCTGTTGCCCGCGACTTCGTCCGTGTAGAATATGAATTTTAGAACATAACTTTGCCTTTGTTTTAATTTTCCAAAATAAAAGTAGCTTATGTATCTCCTTAGTACATCAGCTACCTGCCGGTAAAAGGCTTGTAAAATCGGTCCAGCCATTTTAAAGATAAGCTAGTACAAACAGACAGACATACACACAACAAACAGCACTTATTAAATCAACAATTCATTTATTAAATAAACGACTGCACGGTTGGTGCGGTGGCTGGGCAACCGGCTGCCGTGCAACGTGTCGCGGGTTCGATTCCCGCACGGAACAACACTTTGTGTGATCTACAAACTGTTGTTTCGGGTCTGGGTGTCATGTGTATGTGAACTTGTATGTTTGTAAACGCACCCACGACACAGGAGAAAATCCTAATGTGGGGCAACGTTTTTAAAAAAAATTAAAAAATATTCAATAACTAAACATTTCCTAGTTAAATATAAACGGTAAAGTAAAACAAACGGCTTGTGTTAATTGTTCAACTATTAATAGTTTGGTAACAGACCGATAAACAGTTTAAACTGTATAAATGGCAGTGAACAAGTTCGGTTAGACAGTATCACGATAATCGATTAAACTTTGCAACGATTCGTTAACCAGCTCCGTTAGGTAAGTGACATAAATACAAACAACATAACATCACGCCTTTTATCCCCGAAGCGGTAGGCAGAGGTGCACATTACGGCACTTAATGCCACTGTACAATGTAACACCCACTTTTCACTATTTATGTTATGAGTCCCATGTAATAGGGGGTGAGCTTATTGCCATATACCGGGCACATTTCCAGACTCCGTGCTACTACTAAGGTTTTTACAAACCCAGAAATACTTTGCCCGACCCGGGAATCGAACCCGAGACCCCTTGCCCGGCAGTCGCACTTGCGACCACTTGGCCAATGAAGCAGTCATAAACACTAAACGAATAGAATAGATGTAAGGGCCGGGACACATTAACAGGATATGCCGTCGTGTCGTACCCCGATGCGGCGTGGTTTCACGATGCGACGTCGCGTCGTGGGAAGCTGTAAAAAACTACGATGCGACATCGTAACGAGACATGATACACGGCATGACGCCGTCGATACAGTGCACGGTGAATTATCGCAGTTAATTTCGAGAAATGAACCGCACTAGATGCGTCCTGTTGTTAAGAAGACGGATAAAGAAAAGATAGAAACTCAGAAGATATTTGATCACCGATCCACCTATTTCTTTTAATTATGAATATCGGGAGCACTACTTCATAAATAAATAAAATGCTTTAAAAATAGAACACAACAAAAAAAAAATTGATGAAATAAAAACCGAACGCGACGACGCGCCGTGTATCGTGGCACGTTCCGATATAGCGATGTAGTTTTTTACGATGCTCGTCGTAGATTCCCGAGACGCGACGCGACGTCGCATCGTGAAACAACGCCGCATCGTAGTACGACACGACGTCGCATCGTAGTACGACACGACGTCACTTCGTGTTTATGTGTCCCGGTCCTTAGATAGATGACATTGTTGGTTTTACCTCATGACTTCCGCTATTATGGTACATTTAAATATTAATAGTAAAGGTAATCACCAAATTTCAATAATAATTTGTCTCAACGGAGAACTGAATCCGTAACTTAATGCTGGAAACTTGCAGTTTTTAAGGCTAATTAACAACTGATTTGTAATTCAAAATGTCGACAAATATCAAAATTCCATTTTGGATTAAATCAGTCTAATATCGGCTGTTTATCGATCAACAATGCCATTAATTAATAGCAAAATATAACTCACCTATTCTTCTGTTTGCTCAACCGGAGACTCGAACCCACGCACTGCAATTCCATGCGATGTTTTTTACCACACAACAACTAAGCACTCATCACTGATTATTTGTATGAAATTTTGTATGTGATCTATGAAAACTGTTGCGCAGTTAATGTCGCCGGGTTTGGATGATTCTGGATGTTTCTTGATGTGTGTTGGTCCCCTGTAACAAAAGTAAAAGGATTTTAATAAGGTAACTGTCTCATTATTGAATAGGCAGGCATAGAAGTACAAAGTGTGAATGAGGTTACAGGAGTTACCACAGTTACCCCCCCCCCCTAATTTCCCCAATCCGGAATCCCCAATAATCCTCAAATTCACACCCCCAAAAGGCCGGCAACGTTGTGACGTCTCTGGTGTTTCGGCTGTCTATGGGCATATATCGTCGAAAGTATTTAATTTTTGAGAAAAAAAATACGTGTCTAAGCCTTAGACACGTATTTTTTAAAACCTTAGACTCTAAGGTTTTAAATTAATGTACCAGATGGACATTAAAATAAAATGTAGGAAACTACCCTATTAGGTATGGACCTTGTCGGGCACAGCAAAATTTAAAAAAAAAGGAAGAGCGTTTTGTTTGATATTAATGTAATGTCAAAATTAAAAAGGTATTATTCAACATTATTTACCCTCAGTTACCCTCTATACCTCCTTGTCCTCGCATTAAAACACTATCTAGTCAAAAGAGTGAATAAGAAACCTATGTCAAGCACTGAAATTGATTTTTCTACCCATTCCTTCAACTGGCTTATACAACATTAAGTGTGCAATATTAAGTGTGTTGTTATTTAGTAAGTCACTAAAATGACAAATATGTGAATAAAGAAGAATAGTAATAATAATATGTTAGGAGAAATAATATGTTATCCTAGTTAGTTGCAAGTATTTTTGTAATTAGTTTTATTAAATGTAACATTTTAACTTTATTATATTGTAAAACTTAACTTTGCATGCCGAAAACAGGGACTATTTTTTAAAAATTATTATTACCTGTAATTACCATACTTCGTGCAAATAAACGTTCTTATTCTTATTCTAAATCATAAGTTAAGGTCAGTCACCAATGACCCCATGGCGTTTAATGTATTAAGGGACTAGGAAGCCTATACAACTATTAGACTAACATCACAATCTAGTCTAGATCATTAATAATACCTTTAAATAGGACATCGCTGTAAAATTACCATAGCGCCTCGTCATCGATGACGTCACAGATGACACACAGTCGTCAAGTGTATACAATAGATACAGATTATAGGACGTCAGTGTTGGAGGGCTGGTTGAATAGGATTAGGTAATGCTGTGTCATTGTGACAGGGACGGGGTTGAGCAATCTGAGTAGCTGTTTAGAGTATGCAGCGTCAAATCTATTTTGTTTTAGTCCCGAAGTAAAATGATTTTGTTTTATTAATACAACAGTTTTATTAAATAAATTGTTTAAAACAAAAAATAGGTGGGAAACATTGCAAAAAGCAAACTTCGAAAATGCACTCATGATACATTATCAAAAGATCAGCATGTAATAGGTATTACTCGTTGACTGTGTCGTTGGCCGAGTGGTCGCAAGTGCGACTGCCGGGCAAGGGGTCTCGGGTTCGATTCCCGGGTTGGGCAAAGTATTACTGGGTTTTTAAAAAAAATCTCAGTAGTAGCATGGAGTCTGGAATCACATAATGTTGATGTGTAATTTTCGCCATTTATACAATGGACCCTATCCCCTTGTAAATGTATACAACTACATATACATGTATACGTAATGTGTATTACGAAGTGAGAGATGTCAAAGACTTGGAGATATTTCCGAAATATGACATGTTACTCAAATTAGATTAGGAAAATTATTCACTTATTTTAAACAGTCACGGCGTTTTAAATATTTTCAATCAAATTAAAACCTAGTAGACTTCTACTGAAAAACTTTCATGTCTTTACTATTCTCATTCTTCTGATAATCATCACATGACTAACAATCTTCTAATAACACTCCATTTTAAGAATCACAGTATTTATTTTCTTCATAGAAAAATCTAGAAACTAGTTACAAACTACCCAAGCTCTCAGATAGCTCCTGATTAAGATTGCGTCAAAGATAATGTCGGTCGCTAATCCGTCCTACAAATTGGTCAGCACGTCTGCTGGGCTCCCTGTCTGTGTGTAGGCAAGAGGCAGAGGGTTAGTATTTATTCTCATATATAACAAGCTACATCAATGACCATTATTTTAACATTGAATTGTAACGTCAGAAGTTTTGGAATCTATTCGAATTTCTTTGACATCATCAGCCTCTCCTTCCATTACCGGTCTGAACAAGATTTCTCTAAAAACACGCCCCTGATCTTGATCTTCAGCTGCTGCTGGCTCTTCCTATTAAACCACTGTCATTAACTTTGCGGGTATCTTGACCCTATCTATGTATATTAATTAATACTGTTTTTGTTAGTGCAATGCAGTGCGTGCAGAATGTGTTTGTGCAGAATTTTGTGATAGCGAAAAATGAGATACATAATGTTGTGATCTCAAGTCCTGAAGTAACTTAAGTAAGAAAACAAGACATTTTTTTATGGCTTACCGACCTGACCATTCACCTGATGGTAAGCAATCGGCGTCACCCATGGACACCTGGAACACCAGAGGCGTTACAAGTGCGTTATCGGCCAATTGGGGATTAGGAGTTTGAGGATCGTTGGAAGATTCAGGGATTGGGGAGATTGTAAAAGGGGAGGAGGGTAATTGGGCCTTCAGTAACCTCACTCACACGACGAAACATAACGCGAGCGTTGCGTCACGTCGGTTTTCTGTGAGGCCGTGATATCACTGCGGTTGAGCCGGCCCATTTGTAGAAGACTATTACGTATGCTTTTGTGTACTTTTTGAAAATGAAAACTGTAATGGAAGCGTCACTTTTTTGCATTAAGTGCCGGTTGTGATCTTCATATAAAACCCAAAGAAGCATTGATGATATTTTCTTATTTTATTGATTAAGTATTAATTTGTACGAATCTAAATATACAATTTAAAAGGAAATGCGTAATGTTTTAGCGTTTTAATTAATTACTACAGCTATTAGTCACATTCTGATTAACAAGTTGATAGTGTCGCTGTCGGAGTCTAGAAAATATGTTGTGGGCGGGTAAATATGTAAATTAAAGAATTGGAGTTTTATTTTGACTCAACTTGCAAATGGCTTCAACAAAAATGTATGATATATCATGGTTTACTTTTATTTTTGAACACATGTATCTAGCGGACGTACACATAAAATGTAAAACGACAGAAAAAGTATTTTAATTAAAAGTTCCTCGTAAATACCGTGAGGAGTTTATGGTTAATCAAAGAAGACTTATGCAATGATATTAATCTATATGTGTCTATTAATCTTCTTTGATTTACCATACACAATAGCTAATTCGGTTTGGTAGGTCCGGTTATATCTTATACTTAACATTTTTCTATTAGGCAGTCAAAATGATGAAGGTGTGGTGAATGTAGTTTATTCAGAAGCTAATTTAATAATTGTTAGTATCATTTCCATTAATTTTATAATTCACATCCTAATCTATACTTATCTTACAAAGCTGAAGAGATTGTTTTTTTGTATGTTTGTTTGAACGCGCTAATCTCCAAAACTACTAGTTCGAATTGAATAATTCTTTTTGTGTTGGATAGTCATTTTATCAAGAAAGTCTATAGGCTATAAAACATCTCGCTACGACCAATAGGAGCCGAGCAGAACGGGTGAAACCGCGCGCAAGTAGCTAGTCATATTATAAATACGAAAGTTTGTATGCATCTTCGTTTATTAATCCTTAACATCAAAACGTCTGAAGTATCGGGATAAATTTTGCAACAGGAGTATATTATTGTCTAAAAAAACATATAGGATATACTAGCGACCCGCCTCAGCTTCGTACGGGTATACGTACGGCATGTATTATACATACAAACCTTCCTTAAGACTCACTCTATTTATTAAAAAAAAAAACCGCATCAAAATCCGTTGCGTAGTTATAAAGATCGAAGCATACATAGGGACAGACAGACAGCGGACAGCGACTTTGTTTTATACTATGTAGTGATTATACCACAGGAACGCGGGCGAAGCCGCTGGTAGAATCTAGTACTACATGTAATACGAGATTGTAATTGAGTTGAAAAAAAAAACATTCAAAAATAACAAGGAATCTCTCCAATCGAATCATACGCTTACACAAAGCATATCGAAGCGTGTCTTTCCTTTCGACACAAACGCTGCATCTGACGTCGACGTGGCCATGTTGTCGTGACGTTTGATTGTTGACGAAGCGACGTGAGCTGGTTGACGAAGCTATTGTTTTTACTCTTGCTAATGGGGTCATGTTTTTGAAAGGTCCTTTTGTTGTTCAGAAAGGGTAGTTAATGAGAATTTTGGTAAAAATAATAAACCTTCTGGATAGCTGTGTTTTTTTAATAAAGCCAGTTTCAACGTTGTTCGGTTTATTTTTTCTGTGAAACATTTTGCTTTATCAAATCTTTAACGTTTTAAATAGTAATCTAAGTAATTGACACATTATTTGTTATTTAGAGCAACGAAATTGAAGTATCTAATAATTTAATCAGTCTCATCTGTTTCATTCGATTCAAATTGTTTTCTTCAAGTCTATCGTTATCATAAACATCACTACCGCCATCTACCGAACGCAAAAATTTAAAACGAAACGACTTTTCAAACACAGACATCTAAAATCCTAATTGAATATTCAAATCAATTATTTATTTAACACTGTCATAAAATCAGAGATATAATATAATTTGAGAGGAACGTGAATTGGTCCACGTGGGACATTGAGGCATAAAATGCTGCGTGGGAGGCGACAGATGGCGGATCCATTACCTCAGAGTGAATAGCCGCCATTATATTGCTAACTGCTGTATATTGCAGAAAGACCACTTGATTTGAAAAACGGTTAACAGAATTTGCGGTTGAATAATTAATATGTTGGCTGATTTTTATTGCGTTGTGTCAAGAGGGTTGTTTTTTTGAATACCTATGTGATTATTTATAAATTTTTTTATAGCATAAGGTGGTAAACGAGCAGACGGATCACCTGATGGTAAGTAATCAGGGCCGCCCCGCGTTAACGGCCTTTTGGGAATTGGAAATTTAAGGACTGTGGAGGATTCGGG